GAGCAGCCTTCCCTGGACACCGAGCTTTACCCGAGCTGGTTCAGGTTGCACCGTACACCCGCTTATACAGTTGGAAAGTCACTCCCCAGCGGTGTTTCCGTTGGCTAAATGAGCTCAACGAGGCACCGAGGAGCCTACAACAACAGTAATGCCACATCGGGTAGGATGGTTGACACCAACCTCCTTCACAGAGATGTTCTGAGGCAGCGACTGGAAGGTCCCTGGAAGCCCCCAGGTCGGGGCAGCAAGTGCTGAGTACGAGACCACAGGACCCACCTGCTGCACTGAATCCACGGGACTAACCGCAGTTTGAGAAGGGAAAACAACAAGCAGTGTCCAAAACAGGAAGAGAACTTACAGAACTGGGATGCAAGGTCCTAATCCATATCTAAAGAGAGCACTCACATGCTTCTACAGCAGGGGAATGAAGCCTTGGCCAAGTATCCCAGCGTTTTGAAATACACCATTGCAATTGCAAGGGCTGAGACGCACACATTCCTCAAAAATACCATAATAGCCATAGTATTATCCTTGGCATTCAGTTTTGTTGCTTTTGTCATTATAAAAATAAGGCTTCTGTTAGCATTACTTGACAATATGCTGTATTTTAGATCTCCGCATATGAATGTATAAGGTAATTACACATAATATGTATAATTGATACAGTAAAAACTGCTACCACAAGAGGTTTAATATAGGGCTGCAAAATGAAATACATTAAACTTTTGAGAAAATTGACTATGACGAGGTTATAATTAAACTACTAATGTAAAAGGGACATTTTATTATAATTTCAGAAAGAAGCAAGACATTCAGTCTGGCAGCTCCCCACCCAAGAAGCTTAAAACGACGTTACACAACAGCTCTAAAATCCTGGTATGTTTGGGGGAAAGTGCCCACACCTTCCGTATCACCTCTCAAGTCTATCACAGTGATTTTCTTGTTAAAAACAACAAAGGTGGGGTTACTACATAGAGCAGATGCACGTGCCTGAGAAACAGTATCAGAGAAGATGATCAGGAAGAGGCAAGAAGGGGCAGGAGGGCTGACTTGCCAGTAGCAGTCGTGCTAGCTGAAGACAGTGCTCATTTTCTTCAGTACAAGAGAGGATTTAAGATATAAATGCATTGCAACTACAGGCATAGATACATCATTTAATGAGGCTGGAGGCAGGAAAAAAAAAAATCACATCTTTCATCCTTCTTTTCTTCCTCCTCATCACTGGGTGACCCTCTGCTGCATGAATACTTCACTTAATGCTGCAGGTTTTTTTAAACCTGCATCCCCAGTGACACAGCACTGTGTAAAGAACTCGTTTTGCTACAGCTTGTTCTGTTCAGCTAATGGAAAAGAAACCGTACAAGAAAGTGTTGGCAGCGGGACTTCTCTGCAGTGAGACACACATATTAATCAAGCAGTTGTATGACCAAGCAGCTGTTAATTAGGGTGTACAAAGAAACCGTCTTTATTTGTTAAAACACAAACATTTATTTTAACTCCAGTCCCAACAGCACCCCAAAAACACCTGTTGCTTAAGAGAGAGTCCGAATTCCAGAGAGAGAAGTGGAAGATGCAAACAAAATAAGCCTTCAATAACTCCCCACCCTGACCTACAAAAGATTCCTTTTTAAGGCTATCTCCTTCTACCCGGGTGGCTGCTCATAGCCTGAATGTACCCAGACCTCTCTGAGATGGTAATTCAACCCTTCACCTCTTCCACAGAAAATAAACACGGATTGATTTCTTGCAGGACCCTGGAAGTGGCCTCATTTGGCCCAATTCCTCTTTCTCCTTCATCACGAAGTAGAGCTGGTGGCTTCTCACTCTTCCTATTCGCTGCCCTGCAAAGCAGGGCTCTGGTTGCACAGCCTGGATTAAAGTAGCCTAAAGTAATTTATGAGAGGCATGAAGAAAGAGTTATGTTTTTAACAGACAATTCTGAGGCAGAACACTACCAATATAGAGAGTGCTTGGCTTCACAATATAAATTTCTCTGACAACCAAACAATAACTCTACCTCTTATTTTAGAACTCAACCCCAAAGTGGTAGACTTTGAAACTCTCCACACTCCTGTTATTCCCTGAGGTGCTTCTAAGATGATCACTGTCAGAGTCAAAGAGTCTATAAAAAGGATGAAGGGAGCTGGGAAATTTCCACAGAGGTGGTGCCAGAATAACATTTTAGCCATCTCTGAGTGAAGCCAGGTTGCACCCTGGAGTCTCTGCTGAAGCCCAAGAGCTCCCCCAACTGCCCCTGGGCATCGCTGCACCCGTACCCAGACCATGCACAACTGCTCGTGCGGCTGAACGGTTCCAGCTCTGCCCGGATTTGCTTGTTCAAAGCCAGTGCCCGCACACAGGAGAGCTGGGGAACTCGTTAACAGGAGCTGTCGTTGCGAGGAACGGGGCCGCAATGACTCGGGCACGCGGCAGACTCCAGCACACGCTTAAGGGAACAGCAAGAGAGCCCTGCCAAAGCAGCCACGGCATCTTGTCACAACACATCTGTGTTCCTGTTACATACGGTCTGTCATCTACATGAAAAGCTCATTCAAACAGCAAAATGTTTCACCAAAACACCTGACCTCAAATTCCTCATCTCCCCCCGCCCCGCACTAGATTTACAGAACTAGATTTACCCTAAAAAGCCTAAAGAAGCATGGAATGGTTGGACACAAATCCTACCCTCCTTTCTAAGCGTGGCAAAAAGCACCTTTAAAAAACCTTGAAAGACTTAAGCTCCTTTACAAGAAGCTCCTATTCCATTTATAAGCACTGGTGGCTCAACAGCAACCGAAAGCCCTGAGGCAAATATCAGATGTTCCCCAGCATCTCCCCCAAATCCTCCACAGGATCAGACAGAAATCAAAGCTGCCAAGAATCAAAATACAGACGCTTATAAGATATATGTGCCAGATTTGCTAAACTTCATGCAAACTTTATCATCTTTCCACAACCCATGCAGTTCATAAGATGCACACAAGGAGGCAAATAGTTCTGGTTAAGCTAAAAACACTTTGTGCAAGAAGTTAAAAATATGTTGAGCACCTCTTCTTTAAAATAGAAAAAAAAAAAAAACAGAACAGCCGTTATTTTCAAGCTGTAACCAGCTTTTCTTCTCAAGATAATCTGCTCTGATTCCTTCTTTTTGAAAGACATACCCCTTTAGTGGGAGCTCCGAAACAAAAAGAAAGCCAAAAAGAGACAAACTGATAACCCATAAGGATGAAAGCCCTGATTCAAGTCTAATTTGGGCCTAATCCAAGCCCCTGGTCACTTCTGTGTACAACTCCTAGAGAAACCAACTCCTGCATAGGGAAGTGTTGAAACAGCCACACCAAAGAGGACGTTGGTTCTGCCGATGGTTACCGCGAGCGGTGGCTTCTGCTGTGCTGGTGGCACCATCTGCTGGAGATGAGGGCCAAATAAAAATGATGTTGAACGAACCACTTCAGAAAACCCAGGGGAAAACAAAGCAAAAAAAAACCCAAAAATGACAGTATCCAGAGGGAAAGCATATCACATTTCATTGCTAATCCAGAGATTTGCTTCTTGAAGTCAAATGTGTTTAACACGGATAACACAAGTGATTCTGTAAACCCCTTACATGTGCCTGAGGGACAAAGAACCGGGCGTGCTGGAGAAGCAGCTTTGGGATGTGTTACAAACATTTAAACATTCCCACCAAGACTGTGGCTGAATGTTACAGCCTCGGCCCTCCTGCCGCCGTTCCAAGCCTGGACAGGAGCACTGCAGTTGTTCCTTACACCTCTGCTGCTGGTAGTTTTTATTGGCCCGCAGGCACTTACAGCTTAGAGATACGTAGTGTCCCAGGGGACTCGTATTGCAGAGAAACGGGACGATCTTGTCTGCGAGTACCCGGGCACGACAGCAGCTCCACAGTGACATTTAAGCTTTAATTTGCACGCAAATGTCAATATTTATTAGTCACATGAGGATTTTCAGCAGAGTTCTCGGTTACTAAGTCCCTCTGGTTATACTTTTAGATAGGAGGCTTCCAAAAAGAGAATACTAGTCCTGGGTAACCCACTTATTTCAGATTTCCTAGCTTTGTAATTTCAGCCTTATCTACTGATTTCTTCTCTATTTCAAACCAGTCCACGCACTGACAGCGTTTTAAAAAAACAGCCATTAAAAAGTAACACCTCAACCTGGAGCTATAAATTAAATATTTATAAATATATAAATTATATATTTAAACTATAGAAATTGTAACTCAAGCAACGTCTGCTTTGAACAACAGTCACTCTCTATTTAAGCGCTTTTAAAAATGTCTGCACATTCCCATCACCATTTTGTCTGCCATATTCTACCTTGTGCCTTAGTCTGCAAAAAGCCACAAATCTTGAAATCACTTTCGAGTATTTTTAATCATGATGTCAACAAGCCTCCTTAATTCCTCTTTCTTTCTAGAAAGTCAGGAATTAGGCCCTCAACAACTTAGATAGGGATTAGCTTAAGCTTCCATGGAAAGGCACCTTAATAATGTTATCAAGATTCAATTGTTCGAGCTAAAGCAACGACGTTCATTAAATACTTTCATTTGACTGTAAATTAAGAACTGTTTTTGTATCCAGATTACACTCTGGGGAGAAATAGAATACCTGAAACAAGAATAAAAGGATATCGAAGAATAAAAGGATATCGCAGTGGTTTCTCAGTAGAGACAGGGGATCTGTCTGTGTCACTTACCAGGATTTTGGCTCGCCAAAATGCAAGTAGTTGATACTGTAGAGATCCATGTCCTCTGTATGCCAAGCAAACGTTGTCTTCCACATCCCAAAGTAGAGGTAGGGAGTGTTTACACCTTCTATGATAATACCACACTCATGTTCTACCATGTCCAAGAGGGTGTTCAGATTGCCAATATTCCATTCTTCCACATCCTATAATTCAAAAGGAGTTTGTTTTCTATTGGAACATATCAGAACTTGCTGCCACAGAATATCCCACAACCAGACTGAAGCTTAAAGGGTGATTATAAATGTTATCCTGGAGAGTTTCCTGTATTTGCATTAATTTAATTTCCCCTCATTTCCATTAAGTTTACTCTTAATGTTCATCAATAGCCATAAAAAAAGATGTATTAACACTACATTGTGGTTAAGGGCTTATTAGTTTCTAACTATATGTGCTCTCCAAAGAGGCATTTGTACTCTGAGACACTCCATCATTATGTAACTATTTAACTAATAAATACAAAATAAAGGCAAAATACACTCCTTTCATTAGCATATTCCATTTAGATCACATTCTTCATATAGGGAATGTCTGAGATCAACTGATCATGAACACGAGACTGAAAGAGGCAGAGACCGCTCCATCAGCCAGGTACTTCACATAAAGAATAGGAAAGACAATTTTGTTGACAAATAGTTCAATAGAAAGACCAATGAGAAGAAAAATTCTGT